AAGCATGCTTCTCTACAGCAGGCTCTGGTAGATACACCACATGGGATGGGAAGTGAGGGTGGCTGAACAGGAGATCCTAACTCAGTGCAGGCTGAAATCTCACTGGGTTCACTGTCCCACAACCCCCTTACCACCCTACAGCTGACCTCATATGCCTGCAGAGCTCTGTCCAACTGCAGACAAACCGAAATATTCTTCCTTTATTCTCCTTGGTAAAAGAATGGCATCTTCCAAAAGAACTTCACTAAAGATGAAGAACAAAATCTGACGATAGGGACAGTCATACTTAAAAAGCAGTGATTTCTGATCCTGCTGCCTCAGTGATTTGGAGCTAGCAACTGAGATGGGGCTTGAGAAGACCCTAGAGAATTAAGCTAGATCCAAGAACATATAACATGGGAGTCCAGAGCTATGCGCATGCTATGCCAACACAGAGACAGGTGTAAGCCAAAATACCAATTCACTAATTTACAACAGGAAAAATAGCCACCATGGGGACTTGACAGTCAATCCTCTGGTCAGTGTCTTCTCTAAATATAAGAAATACAAACTGAAGCCAAATTATGATCAGAAGATTCCTGGGAGCATGGAGTCAAAGAAGGGGAATCAAAGACGTATAATGATGGCAAAGTTGGGGCAGCCTTATTCATCTGCTATGCAGATATTCTAGACATAGGGGCCAGATACACAAGTCCTCAGACAGGGTACTCTGTTTTCTGAACAGTCTGTGAGAAACTGCCCCTCTGATTACCATTTTCAATAATAATAATGATTGCTAACAGTGATTGAACACTGGGTCCTATGCTAAGCATTTGATAAGAATTATCTCAGTTTATTTTCTTAGTACCTTCATATAGAAGATAACTATTATTATCATTACTATTTTCTAGGTGAGAAAACTGAGACTGACCAAAGTGGATAAGGAGTTTTCCCAAGGTCACATGATCCAGTGATAGAATCAGAATTTGGACACAGGCCTGTCTCACACCAGAACCAGAGCTTTTAATCCACTATACTAAACTGTCTCCCAGTTTTCAAGAGGTCTACTCATCTTTGGTTGTAACATTCTATCTTTAGCTATATCAATATGACCGTTAAGCTATAATTCACTGTGTAGTCATTTTACCAGTTTCAACAGAGTTCTAGATGTCTTTCTATGTCCATATGTGTGATGCAGCAGATGGCACTCTTGCCTCACCACTTACTTGCTGCATGACAGTAGTGGACAGTGTTAGTGCTCTGACCAGAACCCCTTGGAGTGTCCCTAGGTTTTGGTGTGTGCTTGCTTCTAACAGTTTGCATCTGTGACTCTTCAGACTGAAACTACCCTCAAGGAAACTTTGCCTGTGACCACAATCCTGCTTGGCCTTTTCTCTTCTCTGTTCCCTCACCCTCTTACCAATTTCTCCTGGGAGCACCGCCCTAACAAATGACTGGGATATCAATCCTAATCTTAGGATTTGCTTCTGGACTCGACCTGAGACAATGACCTGGAGCAGGGGACACAAAATCCAGTTTGCTGCCTATTTTTGTAAATAAAGATTTTTATTGGAACACAGCTACTCTCATTCACTAACGTATTCTGCGGCTGCTTTCTTCCTACAACAGCAGTACTGACTAGTTGTGACAGAAACTGTACAGCCCACAAAGCCCAAAATATTTACTATTTGGCCATTTTCAGAAAGACTTTACTGACCTCTAACCTAGAATAAGTCTAGTAATACTTATCACTCACCCCTCAGGGTTGTCATAAAGGTTAAACGAGTTAGAAAGGGCCTAGCACATTCCCTAGCACCTATCAGATGCTCAATTCATCTGTTTAGGTGGAATGTAACATAGAGTACTCCCCAAGTTGTGAGTCCTCTTTTTAGATCTTAGAAATAATGCCTGGAAAGTTTTCCTTTTTGATTTTTAGACTTTTCTCCCCTCTCTCCAGAAAAGGATACCTCTCCATTGAAAAGATTTTAAGGCAGTATTTCTCTGCCAATCACCAGCATGAGAATTAGCTATGGACTTGTTGGAAAACAGAGTCCTAGGAGCCACCTTAGACTATCCCTGGAATTATAATCTCAGGATTGAGTGCAGCTTTACAGGTGATTCTGATGCATGCTAAAACTTAAAAAACTCAGATCTATGGTAATTCTATAAATAAATGCAATGGTTTAAAAGCACAAAATTTAAAGAGTTTTTACCTCTGGGGGGAACGGGTGTGGGAGGACCACACAGAAAACTTTGCATATATGGGGCTTTTTATTTTGCCAGACTTTGTGTTAGATATTTTTTCTTACTCAATCATCTTTAAAATCCAATAAATAAGTATTATTATTCTTTTTGTAAGGCTGAGAAAAAGGAAGCACAGGAATTTAAGTATTTTGTCCGGTGTTACATAGCTAAGATTCCATGATTCTGCCCGTTATCCCACATCTAAGATTACATGAGCCTAGATTCCAACAGTATTGGTTGCCTCCAGGTACAAGTTCTTAAGCACTAGTTTATACTTCCTTTCTAGTCCTAAGAATGTTCTATTTTTCAAACTGAGTAGGGTAAACACACACATATTAGATTTGTTATTTACACTCTATGTATACTGCATTATAGATGTCTCTTATCTATGTATGAAATGTTTCATTTAAACATATATGCTTTTACAAACACCAAAATAAAAACTATAATTGGAAGGAAATCTGTTGCTCAAATTTCACTAGAGCCCCCAAGACTGGCAGTGGGAGAGAACCCCGAGGGAGCTGCTGGACCTCTCAGAGGCCCACTTTGCATCCCAGTACCTGTTCCTTTTGGGGGAATCTCACCAAACTCGGCTGCAATTTCCTCTCTGACCTCAGAAGGCGCTGTCCTCATCCGCATTGTAGCCGGGGCACAGGCCCAAGTTTTAGTTAGAGCTTGGAGAGTGATAAATCTAGGTGACAATGGCTCCCGGTGCCCATCAGCACAAACAGAAAAGCGGTAGGCATTATGCTCGCGGTGCCTGAATGTGCCTTATCCAACTTGAGCTCGCAGTCCCATTTCTAGAAGTGAATCCCAGGCTCAGAACGGGTTTACGACTTGTCCTAAGTCATAGAGCCAACTAGTGCTGAGACTTGAACTAGAACCTCTCCAGCTGGAGGCCGCCTTCCAAAGGTTCAGAACGGGGCTCTGGGCCACCTATCACGCTCACACTCAGACTGTCTTTCTCTGGGAGGCGGAAGGGAGCGAACTAAGAATCTCTTGGCTCCTGTTTGCCCCAGCTCACTACTGCCGAGATTCTGAAGGTACCGGATCTTGACTCCTGACTGGGGCGTCCTGAGAAGGGCAGACAGACGCGAGGAAAGCGAACGGGGACAGGCCGGGGTGGAGCCGGTCTAGTCAACTCCACTTGGGCTGGGCAGCGCCGGGACTACCCACCTAGTACGAGGATGCGGTCCTCGGGCCGCAACTCCGGATCTAGGAGGGAACGAAAAGAGGAGAAGTCTCCGAACCACTCGTAGGGGGCAGAGTCGGCAGCGCCCCGGTAGCGCTGGTCCCAGTACTGGACCTCTCGGTACCTGCAGTTCTGCTCTGGTAACTCCGGCAGGGGACCCAGGGACCCAGGAGAGGCCATGCTTGCTGCTGCGGGGCCTGTAGGAGAGCTGGCCAGCACTTTTAGGCGGGGCTTGGCTCGCGTATGTAGCCAATCGGAATGGTGGAATGAAGGAGGAGGCGTGGCCTTTGTGTCTCCGCCCTTTAACATCGGTTGCTCAACATAAACACGTGGAACTTCCGTCCTGTGCGAAGTGCTCTTCAAAGAATACTCCGGTTGGGGAAAACATATCGTCCAGACCCTGAGTCCTTTCGCTGTACTTCTCACTCACTTCTGAGAGCCACGTTTCTGGTGTGAGACGCACTTTGGCTCATCAGTGCCCCCTCTCATATTTTCGATTTGACCGGCTCCTTCTATTAAGTCTGAAAATTAATAGAAGATTAACTTCTTCCCAGTTTTGAGCACCCGGAAGGCACTGAGGGATGGCAGGAGGGGAGTGACACAAGTTTTGCCCTCCAGGAAAGACTGGCATGAACACGAGGTTTCCCAACACAGATGAAGTGTTATGCTGGGCGGAGAGGGGCCGGGGGTAGGCGGGCAGGAAGGTTGTTTTTCTGGCAGAGGTTCAAT